CGCGGCGCCGCTGCCCCCACCCCTGCGCGCGCGGAGAAAGTTTGCGTGGCGTCGCCCAGTCTGGCGGGCACTCCTTCTGTCCCTCTGCTCCGTAGGTGCCGCCCTCCGCCAAGCGCCGCCGGCGACCATGGAGCCCCCGGTGCAGATCTTCCGCGAGGACCCGGTCCCCACTTGTGCGGACAGTGCCTGTCTGCGCCCCAACAGCAGCGGCTGGTTCCCGGGGTGGTCCGAGCCAGCCGGCCCTGGAAATGGCAGCTCGGCGGGCACCACGGAGGAGCCCGCGCAAATCTCTCCGATCATCCCCATCATCATCACGGCCGTCTACTCCGTGGTCTTCGTGGTGGGCTTGGTGGGCAACTCGCTGGTCATGTTCGTGATCATTCGGTGAGCGCCCTTTCCCGAGGGCAGCGGGGCACCAGCTAAGGCTACGGACTAGGTTTTGGCGGGGAGAGAAGGAGATGATTTCCCTGGAGAGCTTTGCGGTGGGGGCCTTCCAGGGGTCACCTGGTGAAACCTAGCAGCTGGAGGCATCCCATCGGTAGGCGTGAAGAGGGACCTTCTGCTCCCAGACCCCTGGTGACCACTGAAGGGACAGAGAAATACCAGGGTGGGGGGGCAACAGAATCAGTTTGATGGTCTCTTGGGGTGGGGGCGGGGGAATGAATCCTTTCGCATGGCCTTTTTGCCTGATTGCCTGGGTCACTTAGAAGTACTTTGCCGTTTGCAAGTATTTCCTAAGATAAGTCTTGGCGCTACTGAATGCTCTGAAAATACTGTGATTATTCAATGGACTATTGAGCATGGTTGCTATTCATGTATGAGCCTTTGTTGCACTAAAAGGGAAGGCTGGAGGAATGGTTAAGTCCTGGGCTACTAATAGAAAGGTCAACTGTTCAAACCCACTGGCTGCTCAATGTGGGAAATATGCTCAATGTGCTTCCAAGATGATAGCCCTATGGAGTAGTTCTACTCCGTCCTTCTCAGCCACTAGGCGTCAGAAAGGACTTGATGGCAATAGGATGGGTCTGACTTGGGTTCTGTGTGTTTGTTTCGTTTTTTAACTACGTCTTATGTTTTCTTTTAAGCATGGTTTGTAGAGGTTTTCAAAACATTTCAGATGATCTTGTGGAATTTTATTGAAGTTAACTTCCAGCAATAAACGCATGCCCATTTTCTGGTTTTGGAATCTAATTACAGGTTGTGGTTATAGATTCTGATTTTAACTTCTTATCTAAAAAACTCAACACGCTCTTTCTTCCCCCATCATAATTTCCTCTATTGTTCATATCTTTATAAAGCAGTAGTGTTTGGAAGAGTATACCATAAACTTAAACATGTTTGAGTGAATAGCTGAAAAAAGATAATATCAGAAAATGACATGCTGCAAAATAGTATTAATGTACAAAGGAGGAATAGAAGCAGGTGGCTTGGTTTCTTTTCTCATGCTGATTTTAGTTTTAAACAGATCATCTATTTATTATGAATTTTAAGAACATTATCTACTTTAGGATGAGTCTTATTCGTAGGAAATCACCATAATAAAAATGTACCTTTCCTTTTTGTGTGTGTGAGATCAGATCTTTCTCTTCCATCTATCTATACTCAGAAATTTAAATATATAATTTAAAACTCGAGTTCATATTTTAGAATGCCTGTTCACCTCTCATTAGTGTTTATAGCTTGGCACCTTGTTTTCCATAATTGCTTGTAGGAATGTTATAGGAACCCTATCAGTGATAATTAAAGGCTGCATAAAGGAAATATTTTAAAGGCAAAGTGTTTGCCTCAGTGGTGATCTCCAGTACAGAAAACCAGGAGAAAATATAACTGTTATTTAAGTTATATTTATAAATACTATGGCATGTGTAGAAGCATTCTTTAAAATAAGTATTCTTAAAAATAACAATATTGGCATAAAAGGAGTGTACTATTAATAAAAACAACTGTTTTTGCTCATATTGTGTTTAGAGGCATGAGTAAAATCATATTGTACCTGATAGAATACCTGACATCTTAAGTTTGAGAAGAGATCCTTGGGCACTTTGCAACTTATTATGTAATCCTGAAGCTGTGATTAAAATATGGATCCTTTTATGTATGGAAATAACTCCTTAGAGGACATTAGACATATTAAAGGAGGGGAAAGTCCATGTGGATTAATAAGGACTTTTTATTGGGGTTCAGTAGCAGACTTATTGCTTGTCATGGGGAAGTCTAAGGTTCCATTACTGGCCAATATACTCACCTCCTGATCAGCCTCCATTCGTCTATGGATAGAAGCTCATGATGTCATGAGGCCAAACAGATTTCAACAGTGTCCAGAATAAAATAGAATAAGAAGAAAGTTCTATGATGTGCATCCAACAAACCAAACAATGAAAACCCTGAGGACACCGTTCTGCCTGGTGTCTTCATGAGTCAGGGACTGACTCAATCTCAGCTAACCATAATATATGAGAGAGATTCAAAAAAGGTCATGGCAAAATGGAATTTTAAATTAATGACATTTCCCCCTGCCCCTCCCCCCCACAAATTTTTGAGACCCCCTGTCATATCCCTCAAAGATATCTAGGATGAAAATTTGCTAGATGGAAATAAATTTGGCTTAGAATAGCAAAGACATTAGAAAAAAGAGTGTGCATAACAGTATCCTTCTGCTTCTCACCACTCTAATACTTGGAGATGGTTAAGTGCTAAGCAAATAGTTCATTTAAAATAGAAGAGTTTGACTACTATTTTTGAATATGAGTGCTTTGAAGTGTTAGTTTAAATCTATAGCTAAGATGGTTAAGGAATACTACAAACTTGTTCAAACTGACAAACAATTGAAAATTAAACCTCAGATGGAAAATTCATGGACTTGGATTTATTGAGAAAGGATTGAAGATTGGAGAGAAGGCAGAGTCTGGAGGCCCTTAGCATGGTTGGCAACACGTGCTAAGACCAGAAAAGGATGCGTGGGATTCAAGTTCAGCTTTTAAAAGTGATGATGGTAAGGCTGCTTTGTAATTGCTGGAAAAGTTGGAAGATCATTTTTGGGAAGGGAGCCACTTTTAAAAAATTATTTTGTCGGGGCCTCATACAACTCTTATCAAGGGCACCATTTTTAAAGTGATATACATGGCAAAGGGCTTTAGCTTAGCCCAATCATAGAATATTCTAGAGAAAGAATTTAAATGCTCGAGTGACTGGGCAAATGAAGATCTGAGATGGTCAACTGCAACCTGAGGAGTAGGGTAAGTCTAGTATTAGGCCTGCCTATTTTGTGTTGTTGTTGCTTTGTTAATCATTTTTTATTGGGCGCTCTTACAGCTCTTAGAACAACCCATACATCAATTGTATCAAGAACATTTGTACATACGTTGCCATCATCATTTCCCAAACATTTTCTTTCTACTTGAGCCCTTGGTGTCAGCTGCTCTTTTCCCCATCCTTCCCCAAACCTCCGACCCTTGTGAACCCTTGATAAATTGTAAGTTAGTATTATTTTAATATCTTACACCATTCCGTATATCTTACACCACTTTCACCCATGTTTCTGTTGTTTGTTCCCCACCTCCCAGGGTTGGGGGGAGGGGAATGGATTATATGTTGATCATTGATCAATTCCCTCTTTCTCCCCTTTCTCCCTCCACCTTCCCCCTACTATCATGGTATTGCTACTCCCTTTACTGTTCCTGAGGAGTTTATCTGTCCTGAGTTCCATGTCTTGAAAGCTCTTATCTGTACTAGTGTACATGCTCCAGTCTAGCTGGATTTTAAGGTAGAACTGGGGTCATGATAGTTGGGGGAAAGGGGAGGAAGCATTAAAGAACTAGAGAAATGTTGTGTGTTTCATTCGTACTATTCTACATCCTGGCTAACTTGTCCTTTCCTGGTGACCCTTCTGTGAAGGGATGTCCAATTGTCTATGGATGGGATTTGGGTCTCCACTCTGATCCCCCTTGTTCACATCAGTATGATTATTTGTTTGGGGTCTTTGATGCCTGATACCTGACCCCATCAACACCTTGTGACCACACAGGCTGGTGTGTTTTTCCATGTGAGCTTTGTTGCTTTCCTGCTAGATGGCTGCTTGTTTAATTTCAAGCCTTTATGATCCCAGATCCTATATGTTCTAATAGCCAGGCACCATCAGCTTTCTTCATTACATTTGCTTATGCACCTCCCTTTTCTTCGGTGATCTTGTCAGGCAGGTGTGCATCACAGAATGCCCGGTTATTAAAACAAAGAGTTTTTGCATTGAGGGCGGGCTTGAGTAGAGGCCCAATGCCCATCTGCTACCTTAATACCTATCATATTAATGTAAGTACCTACATAGACCTATATCCCTATCATTATATATTAATATAGTTACATATATACATGCCTATATTTAAACCTCTATAATGAGGCCTATTTTCGGCCTGCCTTACATATAGCTTTTCCCACATTGGGCACCTAGATTGCTGCCTGTTTTTTCTTGAAGATATTAGCAGTTTTAGGGTTCTCGTTATTTTCAATGTACCGACAGCAACCAAAATATGAAGGAATTATGACCATTATTGCACCACTGCATACTGCCTACTCACACTCAGATCTATACCAGATGCCAGGTCCTCCTCTGACATCTCATAAGTGTATTATCTCACACTCACCACAACCTCCTGCACACATGGAAGCTCGCACTCCTTTAACAAATTAAGTGAGCTTCAGTGAGCATTTATTTTGTGCCAGGCAGGTAAAACTAGCTGCTTCACATGAATTCTTTTATTTCATTTTCACAATGACATGCATATTATTACTATACTCATTTAGCAGGTGAAGAAACAGGCTAAGAGAGTTTCTTTTCTTTTTAAAAAAATCATTTTACTGGGGGCTCATACAACTCTTATCACAATCCATACATCCAGCCATTGTGTCAAGCACATTTGTACATTTGTTGCCTTTATCATTCTCAAAATATCTGCTTTTTACTTGAGCCCTTGATATCAGCTCCTAATTTTTTCCCTCCCTCCCTGCTCTCCTCTCCTTCATGAGCCCTTGATAATTTATGAATTATTATTTTGTCATGTCTTACACTGTCTGACGTCTCCCTTCGCCCACTTTTCTCTCATCCATCCCCCAGGGTGGAGGTTATATGTAGATCCTTGTAATCAGTTCCCCCTTTCCAACCCAGCCCCCTTCCTCCCTCCAGATATCGCCACTCTCACCACTGGTTCTGAAGGGATCATCTGCCCTGGATTCCCTGTGTTTCCAGTTCCTATCTGTACCAGTGAACATCCTCTGGTCTAAGGCTAAGGCAGTTTTAATTAATGGTTATGGCTCTAGTTGGCTAACGAGCGAGTGAGAGTGACACCAGCGGCCTCACCCCAGAGTCTGGGCCTTTAACCACCATGCTATTT